CATATCCACCTGGTCAGTCATCCACTCTTTTTTTTTTTTTCACTAATGTATATATTTTATGTGGGGTGGGGATGTGCACATACAGTGGAGGGTGCCCCCAAACCTCACGTCATTTCTCTTCCCTGTTGTTAGTAAATCTGTAGAGAGGCTGTCAGGAGAGTCTGAAGGTGCAGAACCAGCTGGGCCCATAGGAAGACGGCGAGTCCGGTCCTCCTCGGTGCCTCGGGAAGTGCCCCAACTGTCCCTGGGTAAGTGACTAGAAGCTGGGACTGATTCCTGGGGGGCCCAGTCAGCATGTTGGCTTGGTGGTCAGGGACCCCAGCATGGCTTGAAAGGTGATCTGTGTGTGTCAGAAGACCCAGGATTGCACCCCAGGAATCAGCTGGGACCCTGCCCTCTCAGTATACCCACTCCCCCAGCAGTGTAAGCCCCTCCCCCACCCACTTTGAGACAACCCCCTTTCCACCTCAGTTTCAGAATCTGAGTCTCCCTCCCACTGGCTGTCATCTGAGAAAAACAGAACCTCTGAGGATCTCCGAGCAGTGAATGAGGGAGTGGGATCAGGGAGCAGCAGCAGGCGGCGGGACAGGGTGTCCTTCCGAGGCCAGTACACAGGTAAGCAAGCCTCGTGCACACAAGTGAGCGAGCCTGGTGCACACAGGTGAGCGAGCCTCATGCACACAGGTGAGCCTCGAGCACACGGGTGAGCCTCCTGCATGCTTGGCAGATGCTTGACCACTAAGCCACATCTTCAACACCTGATTTATTTTTAGCATGTTTGTGTATGTGTGTGTGTGTGTGTGTGTGTGTGTGTGTGTGTGTGTGTGTGAATGTTTGCGCATCTGTCAGTATGTGCATGGAGACCAGAGGTTGCCATCAGGTGCCTTCCTCAGTCACTCTCCACTTTATTTATTGAAGCAAGATCTCCCTCTCTGAACCCAGAGCTCGTCAGTTTGGCTAGCCTAGGTAGTCTCTTCTTTCTGGGATTATTGGTGGACCACTGCATCCACCCCACTTTTATATGTGTACAGCGAGCACCACTGAGCCATCTCCCCAGCCTCAGCCCTTGTTTTTTTTTTTTTTTAAGACAACATCTCACTAAGTAGCCAGGCTGACTGGGAACTCATGACCCCCCTGGGAACACATTCTCCTGTCTACTGGGATTATGGGTGTGCGCAACCATGCCAGGCTCAGCTAGCTTTCTAGTGGCATCAAGGTCTGTCCATTGGCTGGACACAGGGTGGAGACCTCACAATACAGCTCTATTCTATCTTTAACACAGTCCCAGAAACTGGACTGGACTGGACTGGATATGCAGATTGCTACTGTGTGGCAAGAGCTTGGCAACTGCTTCTAGGAGCAGAGACGGGCAAGGAGTCTGGAGAGGGCAGCAATGAGCAATCTGTTTATGTATACTTGTGTTTACACACACTCGTGTGCAATGTGTACACCCATGACGCATGTGTTCACATGTGTACATGAGAGATGGGCATGGAGCAGCTAGTAAGACCACTAGGAAGAAGAAAGACACTGTTAAATCTGGAATCTCCCAGCCCTGCGTCCACACAGACACTGACACTTTTTTAAATTCTTCCACAGGCCGGGAGTACCGTGTTCTGTCCCCCAAGGCTGTCCTGAAGGACAGTGGCACAGCCTCCTGTCCCCAGTGCCAGCCCACTAAGACACAGGACACAGGTAAGAGACAGCATCCTGTACATCTGAACCTCTTGGCCATCGGAAGTGTGCAGTGGCATTAGAAATGGGTCATTTTATGAGAGGAAAGGCTCAGGGAGATTAACTAACTTGCCCAAAAGTGCACAGTTTACAAGTGGTAGAGTCAGGATTTGAACTCAGTTCTTTATGACACCAGAGCCCTAACTCTTTACTACCTTGGATCTCTGTCTTTACTAGAGTCCCAACAGGCCTCTCTGTTCACTCACTAATTCGTTCATTCATTCATTCCTACACTAAGGAGAAAGCTGTGACAAAGCGGGGTGGGGGCAAACACCAGCTTGGGGTTACATGATCCAGCTGTGAAAGTTCCCAGGAGGTGTGCCGACCAAACTTGACCTGAAGAACAAGTGGACAGGCCTGGTGCTCAGCCGGAGTTGGTGCTGGGGAGCTGCATAGGAAGAGGCCCGTGGTCCCTGCTGTCTTCTGTTCCCTTGGCCTTCCACTGACCCTGGTTTCCCAGTAACTGTTCTGGGCTCCTATAGGAGGATTGGGTCCATCTCAGTGGCAGAAAAAGGGCTATTGTCACGTCAGGAGGGCCTGGGCCTGGGATCAGATGGCCACCTCATTTGACAAAGCACTGCCTCATGGACCCTCATTTGCGGTGTCCTCTGTAGGGATCTAGGTTTGATAACCAAGCTGTCTCCTCTCCAGACCTCTGACCCTTCTCTTCCAGGCAGCACCGGCACTAGAGACCCTGGAGACCCACTGGGATCATCTGCTACTGATGCCCTCTGCTGTGCCCTGTGTGGTCAAGTCAGGCCCACTGCAGAGGGAGACAGCCCCATCTCAGCACCCTCTGGTAGGAATGAGTGCTCAGCATCTTCCTTTAGACCCCCGCTGGGCTTGGCCAAGGCTCGGGAACTTAGCAGGCTCACCTGAGGTAGAGTAAATGGGGCAGAGGAGCCACTTCCCAAAGGGATGCCCCACCTAGAGTGGTCCCTACCTCAAGCCTGAGAGAGGAGGGGTGGCTGGCAGACCCACCATGCTTGGCTGCATCTACCCACTTCCTCACATGGTGTCTCTGTCCTTCCCTTCCTGACAGAGAGCACCCCGAGGAGAACCACATCTTCCAACCCCAGTCCCAAGCAGAAGAGCAAGCGGGTGGGCTCCCCTGCACAGCTGCCCCCTGGACTCTGGTACCTGACTGCTACACCCCCCATCCTGGCCCCATCAGCCTTGGCCTACATCTCCTCAGCTCCCATAATGCCTTACCCACCAGCCACTGTGTAAGTCTTCCTTTCTAACCTCCTGAGCTTGCCTGAGGGAGGCTGGGAGCCAAGGGTAGCGCCCTCCTGCAATTTATCCACGTGGAAGATGGAACATAAGCCTGACAGTCTTGTAGTCACTCAGCAAACCCTAAGTGCTCTCTGTGTAGGGGATAGACTTCTTAGTCCTGGGGACCAAGTAATGAAAGAGACTAGTAAGAGGGCCCTGCCCGAGAGTTACATTTTCCTGGGGACCTAGAACCCTAGCTAGCTTCCAATTCCTAGTGTATAAACAAGTAATAAGGACTTGCTTTAAAAAGTAGTGATAACAGTAGTTTTTTTTTTTTTAATTTTTTGGACTTTTTGAGACAGGGTCTCCCTGTAGCCCCACCTGTCCTGGAACTCACTATGTAGACCAGGCTGGCCTTGAACTTTCAGAGATGCGCCTGCCTCTGCCTCCCAAGTGCTGGGATTAAAGGCATGCGCCACCATGCCCAGCTAGTAGCTTTATTTTTTAAAAATGTTTTATTATTTTTGTTTCATGTGTATGAGTACATTGCCTGCATGTAGGTAGGTACACCCATGTTGTACAATGCCTGAGTAGGTCAGAAGAGGGCGTCAGATCCCCTGGAACTGGAGTTACTGATGGTTGTTAGCCACTATGTGGGTGCTAGGAATTGAACCCAGATCCTCTGCAAGAGCAGCCAGTGCTCTTAAACTTCTGAGCCATCTGTCTAGTTAGTCCCAATAGCTTTATTTCTTATCACTTCTTTTTTTTAAAAAAAATATTAATTTATGTGTATGAGTGTATTACCTGCATGTACGTAAGTGCACTGCCTGCAGCGATCAGAAGAGGGTGTCAGATCCCTTAGAACTGCAGTTACATCTGGTTGTTAACCACCATATGTGTTCTGGGAACCTGGGTCCTCTGCAAGAACAGCCAATGCTCTTAACCACCGAGCCCAGCCCCATCACTTCTTTTTTAAATAGACTTTCATTAATAGGATGGTTTTGTATATATGGGAATTGAACATATAGCACCATGTACCACACCTCCCACCACAGCCTCTCATGTTCCTGTCTGGCATTCACATACATACACCCATCATCATTAGCTAACTGACTTGAATACCTTAGTATTAACCAAAGCCCGGGCTTATGTCTAAGGTCCATTCTACTCCAAGGTACTATCCCAGATCTCCCTACATTTCATTAACATCCTCTTCAGGCTCTTCTGGAGGGTAATAGCTGCTCAGTCCTGCCCTGTCTTTGATGATCTTGGCAGATGAGAAAGGGCACCTGCCAGATGGGCTTCAGACAGAGCAGCACCCACCTCTGAGGAGCAGAGTATAGGCAGGGTGGGATTGGTGACAGATCCGGGGCAGACACAGCTGTACAGGAACCCCTTCTCCTCTCATGATTTTTATGGCCAGGGTAGAGAACTGCCCATCTGAACCTCAGTTTCCCCATCTGTTCAATGAGGGCAGTGGCTCTGTCCTGTACCATTGTGTGAGGATTAAGTGGAGCACTTGGCAAGAACATAGTGGATGCTTATGGAGCCTGACCTGAGGTGCTGGGAAGTCTCATTACCAACTCAGTGACACCTTAGTCATAATGGATAGCGTGGTTGTTGTTGGATATGATCATTGTCAAGAACAAATGTGTAAAAGTGACTTTACCAGAAGAGCACTGGACAGGTAGAGGGAGCCAAGATGCTGGAATTAGGAGACCTGTCTTCTAGTCTCGACTGGGCTGCTTCTCTGCTACAGTTTCCTCTGTTATAAAGTGAGTCCACCAGGATTCATTGTTGCCAACTGCTAGACTGCTGGCGGTCTGCCTCTGTGGGCGGTGGGGGCACCGTGGCAGCTATTGTGGGTGAGGACAGAGGCCTAAGGGCCCTGCCGTGAAGGGCTGGGTCTGGGGTGCCAGTTTTCTTCTGCCTTCTAGGCTGAATCTGAATGAGTCTTTAGGGACCTGCCAGTAGCCACGATGGCCTTGCCTCATGCCCAGCCCCTGACATACATGAGACATACTGTGTTCCCTCTCACTAGGCAGGAAGGGGTTAGTGGCATTTGGTGGTCCTGTGGGAACCCCGGAGCTCTCTTCTACTTCTACGGCCAAATCCTTCCAGGCTGGGCTGTGGAAGACCTCTCCAGGTTGTCGGCCCCAGATGTGGTGGCCACAGAGAGGGGAAGGCTTTTAGTGGCCTGCAGTTGCTGAGTGACCTAGGCAGGTCACTTTGGTTCTCTGGCCTCAGTTTCTTCCTCCGAGAAAGAGCTTATGGAATGCCAGCCATTCATCAAGGGTGGCCCGTAGCCACACTGCTGTAGGCAGCTAAGATTTCTGCTGTGCCTGGCAGCAGGACTGAGCATGCTCCAAGACTGAGGCTCCCCGGCTTGACAGGCAATGCAAATGTGCTGTACTGCCCCCTGCTGGCCACCTGCAGCACTGCAGCAGAGGCTTTCTATCCAAAGCTTCATCATCTGCCCTAGAGAGATTGGAACTTTCAGGCCAAACTTGCCCTCCCATGAACCAGAAGTTGGGGAGCAGTAGTTACCCTGGGCTAAAGGAGCGGGTGTGGACTGCTCCGCTGATTCCAAGAAATCCAGTTATTCAGCTCAGAGCTGTCTTCAGTGCCTGCAACTTGCTGAATAAAGAATGTTTCAAATACTGGGGGGACTCAGGTCTGGCCGGGATTCCACCACTGTCCCTTCTAAACTGCCACCTTGGCCCTTCGTGGCTCACAGTTAAAGATCATGTGCCGTGGCACTATGAGGCTTCTTATATCAATATTTTTGTTATCATTGTTGCCGGGGAAGCAACTAAATAATGACCATTATGAATGAGAAAACGGGTGAGTTGAGCTGAGTATGGTGACCCATCTCAGTAATCCAAGCACGCAGAAGGGTGATGGAGGATTGTGAGTTCAAGGCCAGCCTGGGTTACATAGTAAAACCCTAGGGAGGAGTGGGAGGTGGGGCTTGGGAAGTGGTATCTGTTGTTCATGGACCCTTGGCTGACCATGCAGAATGTCGGGGAACGGGCCAACCATAATAATACCATCTCCTGAGACACTAGCTCCTCTGAACTTCATCACGCCTCTGTAAAGTGAGGTTGTGGCCTTGACTGGCATGTATGCACCAGCCCCAGGCAAGGGACCATGTTTGACCATTTGAGGGACTTCTCGTTCACTAGGAATGACTGGTTCCAGATGCTACACCTCCTTGCCAACACGTGCTGTTGTTGGCGTTTACTTTAGCCATGTCAATAAATGGGGGGGACATGTGAATCAGCATCTCCTATGACTCTGGCTTGCATTCTTCTAATGGCTAAAGCTGCAATGTATCCTTTCATACACTTGTTGACCATTTGCTTGTCTTTGGAGAAATGTCTGTGGTAATTTGACCTGTTGGCATATCGTACTAGTAATGCGAGTTAGAATTTGAGAAACATGAATGAGTGATAGGCCAGTGGATGGTTCAGGTGACATCTCCTTAAACTCATCCCTGCTTCCTTTAGGATCTCTCTCTCTTGCTCTCGCTCTCGCTCTCTGTCTCCCTCCCTCCCTCCCTCTCACACAATCAACAGCACAGAAGCTATACTGTCATCTTATCCACACAGTTGCCTTGAACCCTAAACCCTAAACCCTTACGAATGCCCTTGATCACTGCTTGAAGAATTCCATGTTTCCTCTCCTGGCTACTCCACCCATCTTTCCAACCCTAACTGCACCTTGAATGCCTACAGAACCAGCTGGGAAAGATGTCCATCCACTCACCACACTGCATGAAGGGACCAGCCATTCTTACTCTGTGAGATCCTAATCATTAGTCTTGAGCATCTCCAGCACCCTGTGGTGGCCAACAGAACTCCACGAGTTACCTCTCCGATGAAGAGAGTTTGCTGCTGAGCCTGATGACCCTGGCTTTCTAGTTAGAACTCCAAAAGGCTATGGGGTCCATGTTGTCTAGTTCCATTGCAACCGCAGTGGCAGCGTGCAGCCAGGCGCACAGTGGGTGGTCAGCAGTTGAATTGCTCAGCGAGTGGGTGATATGGCCCCATCATGCCTAGCACCTGCTCTGAGTTGGGCACTCAGTCATAGTGTCTCCATCCATCTAGCACACACCTCCACATATGTTTTTTCTTCCCGCTGTAGAAAGAGACCAGGGGGTAGGTTCCACAGGTGCAGCCAGGTCTCCAAATCCATAGAGAGCTCTCGCTGCACCTGCCTCTTGCCACGTTCATGAGTTTTCCTTCTTCCCTTAGGTACTATGCAACCCCAGGACCTACCTCAGCCCCGACAGCCTCCCCTAGGCCAGCCCGGAGACCTCGGGGAACCAGGCACTCTGTCCAGCTGGGCCTCAACGACCTGGAGGAGCTGCAGTTGGCACTCAGTCAGGCTGCAGAGGCTGCAGAGAGTGTGCGCTCCACCACCCGCCAGCTGAGCCGCTCCCTGTCTGCAGACCTGCGCCATGCCCGCGGCCTTCGAGGCTCCTGCCTCTTCTGATCCCCAGGAAACTCTGAGACAGATGGGGTGGGTGTCCTCTGCTGTCCCCCAGACAATGCTCTGCCTGGAGCCACTGGTGGCTAGAAGATGCTCTTCCCAGAAGTTCCACCTGCTGGTTCCATATGGCAGTTTTAAAATGCACAGACATCAGCCTGGTCAACAAGTAGATGAATTTCTAGAGGGCCAGTCCCACACAGCAGGTGCAGTGAGCACAGTCTCCTCTGTCCAATCAGAGCTGCTGGGACTATCCTCAGCAACACCCCTGCCCCACGCCCCGTCCATGTCTACCTGTAGATAATAATATGGATCTTATAGACAGGTGGACAGAGTGTATTTACACTAGGAGCCGTTCTCAGAAGGCCAGGGAAGACAAGGAAAGCCTAGGGGCTTTGCAACACACCTGCCCCTTGCCTGAGACAGCCACTCTGAGGCACGGGGAAGAGTCAGGTTGGGGCCCTTGTTCCTAGAGACCTGTAGGTGGGGGTTATGTTTTGGGGGACCTATGGGTTACCTTGGGATAGAAACCTCAGGTGATATGTGCCCAAGTCCTCTGTGGTTACAGAAGTTTTTCCCGTGAACTTGAGGGTAGAGACAGCCCGTGTAAGCCCAGGACTAATCTACCAGAGGCCACTTCGGACACTCCTCCTGAGGCCAGCTCTTTCCTTGGATTTCATTCCCATCCACTAGAGGACCTTCGAGGCCCTGGCCTGAGGCTGAGAGGCCAGGCCAGTTTCCCCTCCCCCACCCTATAGCAGCTTGTACCTCAGCATCTTTGGAATGTGTGTGCATCGCAGATGTTTGTATATTTGAGGCATTTAAAAATCTATTTTCTTACAAGACCAAATGAAGGAAAATGAATAATGATCTTACAAAACTGAAAACAAAACAAAAAATTCTCAAAGCTGCCTGTGTCTGTGGTGTGTGTCAGGAGCCGGTGGTGTCTAAAGATGTGGGTCCGGGTTGGGAAGCTCCAGTGCCCAGCCATGCTCTCCCCCAGGGAAACTGCTGTGTAAATTTCCAAAATCTGCCTATTTTTCTACTGTCTTTTGTCTCTCCTGCTTTCCCTCTACCTGTCTTTTGTCCTCTATAGAGAGGCCTGCAAAACAAGGCCCTCTATCCCTAGGCCAGACAAAGTGGGAGACACTTAGAAAGAGAGTGTTGCAGAAGGCCAGGCCTAGACTGATCTTCCAGAATGAGCTGCCATCTGTTGAGTACCCACAGCTGGTACCCATCTTGGCACTGGGCATGCTTACGATATGCAGTTCTTAGACCGTTCTGCTCCCCAACGTATTGATAAGCAGATCAAAGTTTCCCAGAGCTGCCTGTATTAGTTACTTTTCTAGTTTTTGTGACAAAATACCTGGCAAAACTTCCTTTGTTAAGGAAGGAAAGGACTTTGGCTATAGTTTGAGAGGGATACAGTGCCCCTGGCCAGCGGGGTCTTCAACGTGGACCTGAGGAGAGAACCAACGAATGGAAGGACAAGAGACATGAGAAATGAGAGCAAGACAGGTGGTCTGATCAAGCTCTGAAATTTTTATTTTTCTGTTTGCTATATAACAAGTAAAAGGAGGGAGCGAAGCTAGGGGTAGGGAAATTTCAAGAATGAAGTAATCTGTAAAAGGGGGAAGTGTTGCTAAGGTTACTAGGGTTGCTCAAATGCAGTGAGGCCACCTTGTTTCTGAGAGACGGTTGCTTATCTAAATGGTGCAACCTGAGGTGGTTTCAGTGTAATCTGACTTAAGCAACTGTTGGCTCCCAGCAGCTCCTGCTGAGAGACAAATGCAATGCTCAGCTCACTTTCTCCTTTTTACTCAGGTGGGACCCCAGGCCAAGGAATGGCACCATTCATACCCAGGGTGGGTTTTCCCCCAGCTAATCTTCTCTAGAACCTGCCCCCTGCCACCAGACAAACCCAGAGCATGTCTCCTAGGTGACTCCAAATCCAGTCATGTTGACCATGAAGATTATGTGACACTGTCTAATCGTGGCTCTGGAGAGAGCCAGAATCTGTCTGTGCTCACCTGTGTCTGTCTTGAAGTCCATGGTCTTTGTTCTGTGGTTATTGCCTGCATCTGGCTTTCCTCTGTTTTATTCATGTGTCTCTGCCTCCCACAGCTCATGTCTCCTTTAAGTTTCATCTGGTTCTTCAATGGAGCTGAAAATGGCATCTCCCAGAGGGGCACTGAATGATGCATGCCTCTTTCAAAGGCTCTGAGCCTCCAGGCCAGTTTGGGTACCAGAGGCAGATCATGCACTCATGTTCTGAGGGCATCATGGTGGGAAGGGCCTGAGCACAGGATACCAGGTATCATGTCTGTCACTTTGGAGGCCTAGGCAGCCACAAACATGAACTCAGCCTCCAGCTCTTGTCACCTGAGCAGCTATACCCTTAGGCTAGAAGACTCTCCTGAGTCTGACAGGAAGCCTACCCTTCCTTAGTGAATTCCTGGCCTCCTGCCCTGTCTGTGCCTCAAGAACTCCAGTCCCATTTGTGAGATAAATATCAGCTGGCCTATAGGGAACAGCCTCATCTTTCCATACCTGTGTACTCTGAATGCCCACCCTGAGGTGGGCACCCTGAGGACTCTCCTGGGGACATCTAGCCTCTCTGCCCTAGGCCTGATTCTACCATGTCGTCTCTGCTCTGCTCTTACCCATCAAAGCCTCCATATCAGCCTTCCTGTCTACTCAAGCCCTCCCACCTCACTTCCTGGAGGTGGTCAGGATGGTACTTTTGAAGTAAAGCCTTTTGTGACAGGCACTGCATGCCTGGATTCTCCCTACCCCCTACTCACTGCTGCTCAGATCCTCTGCCTCAGTGTCCCCAAACATGCTCTCTTAGGTTTGAGGTTTACAGCAAGATCAGCAGGTTTTATCAGCTCTTGATTGCCCTAGCCTGGCTCAGATGCCCCTTCCAGAAGACCTCAGATTTCCCCAGTGCAGAGGAGTGGCATACGGGGATCCCACAACATTGGGTGTTGGCCACGTCCATCCCAGCCCTGGGCTGGATCTTCCTACAGGGCTTGTTGGACCCAGCTAGGTCTCCACTCGGCAGGGCTCACCATGAATGAATGAAAGAAAGAATGAATGAATGAACAAATGAATGAAGTGATTACTGACTGTTAAACAGAGACTTTATTGATACAGAGAGAA